TGACGTCGAGCTAGGGGGTATTGTTCGCTTTTATAGTTATTTTGAAACCATGTTTGCTAAAAATACTATACGGCGGGGTGGCGTTGATGACTCGAAGACCGTCATCTCTGTAGTACATATAGGCTAAACCTGTTACCATATTTACCTTTGATGGTGTTGGGTATGAAAGCTCCGAGTACGCACGATTCAAGTCCATCACAGCTCCAAAGGTAACATCAAAAAGAATTGRGGATTATTAGTCGGACTAGCCGAAGGCTAGGTCGACTTAARKYKTACCTTTTAGTCTATCTATCTATGATTTTGTCGCGTTGTTTGGGTTGCCTGTGTTATCACATGACCGGAAGCTCAAACGTATAGATGTACGAATATCATTAGTAAATGTTAGATTCTACTTTCGCTTTKATGTGATAAAAAAAACTATTTGTTTACAAATGTGGTATCTCAGTGATCTAATCGGAATGCATCAGTCTAGGCATCAGAAGTACGAGTAAAGATTACGTTTGTCATATTAATAGAGGTTACTAAAACATTTTAGATATGTGTGGAAAAGACTGGAACTACTTTAATGGCTTCTGSTACAAAACCACCTCTTCCTGTGCCTCTTGGAATGCAGCTCAGTCCAAYTGTCTTGATGTCAACTCCAATCTGGCCAGTGTCACCAGTACATTCAACATCGTCACGGCGGTGATACAGGATAGATAGGACTACAAGACATTGACAGTGAAGGAAACTTTACCTGGATTGACGGTACCAATGTTAACTTTACCTACTGGGCGCCAAACCAACCAAACGGTTACCCTGGAGACCAGGATTGCGTCCATTCCCTGGGATTACGTCATGATTATCATTGGAATGACGTCACATGTGGATCTTGTCACTCATACACATACACAAGGTGTCTGATTAAAAACCTCTTCAGTTCACTAGTAGTGAACGAAACTAGTTTTCACTGAATTTGCCGTTGATTGTGTACGTTTTAGACTTATAGTAAGGGTACTTCACCTATATTCCTACGATTATTAGTCAACATTTTGAATATTGATTATACATTTTCAGATATTGATGAATGCTCATCGGGCGTCCATTCTTGTGATGCCAATGCGCAGTGTACAAACACCGTAGGATCCTACACCTGCATTTGTCTTCTTGGTTTTAATGGTGATGGAAGAACTTGCTCAGGTATTTCCCAGTTAACCATGATCCTTTCCGGTAATCTATCGATAAATCAGTTTCCAATCTTGTCTCTAGATATCGACGAATGYTCGTCTGGTTCCCACAGCTGCAATGGCCACGCACAGTGTACTAATGCAGTTGGGACCTACACCTGTCAATGTAACCCAGGATACCACGGTGACGGTTGGGCMTGTACAGGTAAAGTTATGCAAATGGAATTATATAAATGRCATCCAACTTCTCTTAAATCTTTTCTCTGACAAATAAACACGTGTGCAGGATTTAAAACAGCAAAACTTGCAGAGCSTTAACCTTYTTGMAAAAAAGGAGATTTTAAAAGACCTAATTGATTTTTAAATCTAWAGAAAATTCACGATAATTAACAAGRGGAACAGCAATAATACACTTATATTCAAATGACCAGTTTWAAATKTCGTTCACATTTGACGGCGTATTTGTTGCTTTTACGGAATTTTTTGTCTCTCTCTTCTTTGAAAATAACAAATATGCGGTTTGAGATTCCCTGCATGTAATAGGCATAACGTATGAAGATTTAATGCTGGTTAAATATCAGCGCGATATAATGAAAATCAAAGGAAATCTTTTTGAACTGCTGTCATAATTAAGAAAATCTCCAATCAAAGTAAATTATTTACATCAGCATGCTCGATCTCAGACCATTAATATTAGCCATAGACGTGCTAAAGTTTTGTTTTCMAAATACCKCATAGATTCACCAGAAAATAACTAACATGTACAGCTTGAATTTTCCCTAGATATAGACGAGTGCACGACAGGTTCCCATTCCTGTGATGCGAACGCACAATGTACTAACAACATGGGTTCCCACACCTGTCAGTGTAACCATGGTTTCCACGGTGATGGATGGACGTGCGCAGGTATTGATTGTATATTAAAACACTCATACATAATTAATGAATTGTTAGGCCAATAGATTGATCCTATTTGGTCACATGTATGGACCTTTATATCTGATAAAACACTCCTTATTAAGTATTCTTATAAGGATGACCTTTATCAGATACAGTAATATAAAAAATTAGGTTATACCTAGTAGCGGATCTTTATCACCCGGTACAACAAGCTCTCTCGTTCTGTATACATAACGTTATGACAGAAAATAACTAACATGTACAGCTTGAATTTTCCCTAGATATAGACGAGTGCACGACAGGTTCCCATTCCTGTGATGCGAACGCACAATGTACTAACAACATGGGTTCCCACACCTGTCAGTGTAACCATGGTTTCCACGGTGATGGATGGACGTGCGCAGGTATTGATTGTATATTAAAACACTCATACATAATTAATGAATTGTTAGGCCAATAGATTGATCCTATTTGGTCACATGTATGGACCTTTATATCTGATAAAACACTCCTTATTAAGTATTCTTATAAGGATGACCTTTATCAGATACAGTAATATAAAAAATTAGGTTATACCTAGTAGCGGATCTTTATCACCCGGTACAACAAGCTCTCTCGTTCTGTATACATAACGTTATGAGGTATTTTAATTATCAATGAGTATCTTTTTTCTTTCTAGATGAGGATGAATGTTCGACAGGCTCACATACATGCAATGTCAATGCTCACTGTATTAACAATGTYGGTTCCTATACATGCCGGTGTAACTATGGTTTCTATGGMGATGGMCACTCTTGYACCTCAGGTAGGCTRRATCTACTATKGTTCCATTCCGTACACGGCGAGATCMTGTACGATGCAAAATCGATTTTAAACTGGRCTATTGTGGTCGTTCCATTTGGAATWMYATTTTCCCGAATRAGAATATAAACATTTATAATTGTGTTGCTTTAAAATAGTCTTGCTTACAAATGGACAAATAGTACGGAAAATACAGATTTATCTGAGTACAGCARGCATCGCAAGTAAATGATAGAAGAAAAAAATKSCMMCYTTWWYMAAWTWARRAAA